TTTTTGTTTTCTGATGGTCTTAGGCGACCCCTGTGAAAGGGTCATTCGACCCCCAAAGGGGTTGCGACCCACAGGTTGAGAACCGCTGATCTAAATGAAAGGTGGGGTTAGTAGCCTAACTTATAGCACAGAGACTGAAAGAAATTTGGTTAAATAAAAAGTGGGAAACCTTTCTCTGGAGAAACCTTCCTTTATCTCTGCTTGGCATACTATCAAGATTTGCCACATGTATAATTTACTGGGGTAACTGTAATTAGATATGAATGATTCAATATAGACAAAATAGTGTTGGCCGTGGATCATATTTATACTTAGCTTCACAATCAGACGTTTTATATTTGAATCTTGACTTTTTAATGGGATGTGCTGAACATTATAAAATGAGAATTTAAGAAGGTCCTAGAGCAATAGTTCTGAACGGGGGGATGGGGACAAGTTTTCCCTCAGAGCACGTTTAGCAAAGCCTAAAGACATTTTGGGTTGTAACATCTAGCTGGGGGAAAGAGGGACGTTATTACCACATACTGAGTGGCAGCCAGGGATGCTGCTAAACACCCTATATTGCACTGAACTGACCCATCACCCCAAATTTATCCATCCCAAAATGTCAACAGTGCTAAGACCAAGAAGCCTTGGTCAAGAGTAAGATTCCTGAGAGACAAAGCACCTTGTTTCTTTTTAAAAAGTGTTTTTCTCTTAAGGACTACCAAGAAATGTGGATAAACTTGTCTCCCTTAGCTGTTGTAATCTTATTTTTAAAATTATTTTCCAGAGGAACTACCCAAACAATAAAATTCCCATATGCTGCAACCTACAAAAAAATGTATCACTTGGCATAACTATTATGATTCAGTCTTTTAACATCTGTTCTTTAGAAATGAAAATAGCCTTATTTTACTATCAAAAGGAGAGTAAAAAATTATCTTTCACTAACGACCATGGGAAAACTGGTGATCTGAAGGAGAAAAAATACTCCAGAATAGAAAGGAAGAAGCAAAGCTGCCTATGGCCTGTTCACTACCAAGCCCCGATTCTAAACAGTGATTGGCACAGTTTACATCCAATAAAAATACACTGGATACCCTCACAGGTATCTTACTTTTCCATTCAAGCATCAGATATCTTGCATTATACAGGGTGATTCTGGTGATGGGCAAAGAGGCTTATGCTTCTTATGAGCATAAAGGGTAGGAAATTGTCCTTCGCTCTCTGCACTGGTAATCTGAGAAGATATGAAAGGCAAGCCATGACCTGGTCAACTGTTCTAAACATACTCTTCCTTTTGTAGTTGCATATCCTCCATTACTGACTATAAAATTATTTTAATTTTAAAATAATAAGTGATTCTTATGAATTATATTAAGAATTAAAAAATTCTTAGACCTTGCAAAGCTATAACATATGGATGGGTTTCTGGGACCAAAAACCAAGCCATGTCTTGAAAGTAGAAGCAAGAAATAGAAGAAACAGTTCTGATGCAGCTTTGATCTGAGGATGAGGAGTTCTCTTTGACATTGTACAGTATTACTTGCCTTGATTAGAGTCATGGTTAGAACTCCTCTGCCACCTGGTCTTGATGATCAGGTGATGAGTGCCAGGAGACACTGGTTTATATTTTCGTTTCCTCTCAGAGCACTCAATGTACTCCACCATAGTGTTTGTTGTATTTGAGAAGCATTTGGACTCGGGACAGAGCAGGCAAATTCCATTCTTTGGAAACATTATGTAACATGACAAAAATTATCATTAATTATTGTTTTGCACAAAGTCCAAATGTGTTCTTCAGAATAATATTTCTCACATCAACCCTCAATAAAAGGGGCCTAAGTAGTAGTTCAATGAAGATAACTAGTGTGCTTTGAAATCCAGGTTTCCTAAAGTGAGCAGCTATGATGACTGGGTGTGATTCCCGTCCTTGATCCCTGTTGTACTTACATTTGTAACAGCCTGCAATTATCTTGTTTATTTATTTACTTATCTTTGTAGCACTGTCTTCCTCTGCTAGAGGGATAGCAAAGATCTGTTTGCCTTATTGATCCATTCACCTTCAGACTTAGCACAGAGACTGGCAAGGCAGGTGCCCAAAATAATTTGTTGAGTAAATTCATGAATAAATGAATCTTCCAAAGGCAGAGTTCTGCCCAAGAACATAACCCCCAAATCCTCAAAGTGTCTGTCATGACTACAAACGATCACATGTACATTATGACTATGGAAAGTCATCGTGCTTTAAGGAATTACTGGCTGAGTGATCTTGATGGGACTTCAAGAGGCAGGAGGGTGTTGACTCTTGGACTTGTTTTTCCTTCTTCTTTATAAACCCTGATATCAGGGCCAGTCCAGGGACTTGTGGTATGTAAGATACACCCAAATCCCTTCCAGGCAGAGAGCTCAGGACCCGCTGTAGTCAGAACAGTCAGTGGACAGAAAGGAAAGACGGCTCCTGCGCCGCCAGCTCTATTTCGTTTAAAGCTCTCAGCTGCTGCTTCCAATCAACAGCCTCTAACCTGGGGCCTAAAGACAAAACAGTTCATGTTGCATTTCTGTAGCCTGTCGTGCTTTCAGGGGCAATAGCATCCAAGTGCTGCAGCTGACTCCCCGCTGGCTCTTCCCCTGTGCTCCTGGGAACAGGGCCTTCAGTGGACTGAGCACTAGGTTGCACCTGGTGCTATTTCAGGACTTAACAGGCCTCTGAGTGTGGCTTCACTGTTCAACCTTCTCTGTCCTTTGTCATTTGCAATGTTTCAACCCCACCATCAGCATACGAAGGAAAGGATGGCACTGGACCCATTTTCAGCTCAAGGAAGAAAAGAAAAAAAAAACAAAACAAAAAAACCCAGCTAGGTATGCTAGGGTCAGTGAGTTCAGGTGAAACTAAAAGTCATTTGCTCCAGTATTCTCTCTAAATAAAACTACAACTGAAATACTAATTACATCATAATTTCAAAAAAATTGATAGCTGTTCTAAGCTTTGATTTCACAGGTTGTAGGGCCACTCCTAACCTCATCATTTACAGTCTTGTAACCCTGAATTCCTTTTATTTCCCCCATAGAGTGTGCTATACCACGCCTTAGACCTTTGTTCTTGCTCTTTATTTGGCCTGAGACACAGCGTTCTCTGTCTTCATCTTTCACCTCAGATGTTACCACCTGTACGGCCCTTCCTGAAATTTCCAAATCGTGCTATGCACCTCCCCTCTGCTCCCTTTGTTTTAGCACTTACCATATTGTATATGTATATATAGCAATCTCTTTATGTGTCTGCCTCCTCCATTAGACTCCGAGCAATTCCTTGAGCGCAGTAACCATGTTTTACTCATTTCTTGCCCACAGTTTCTGGCATAAAGTCTAGCATGTACAGTGAGCTAAATAAATATTGATTGAAATAAATTGCTGCCAATAAACCATGATGCTATCACTCATCTGACCTTTTCCCACAGTCAAAACTCTGCAAGCACCAGAAACATTTCAAATGACTGCATCTTAGAACTTCTAAGAATGTAATCTTTTGTTATTTCTCTTCCTTTTCAGGAACCTTTTTCCGGAGCCACAAAAGACAAAGGGAAGAGTCATGTCCACGATTGCAGCTTTCTATAGTGGCAAGTCCATTCTCATTACTGGGGCTACAGGCTTCTTGGGCAAAGTGTTGATGGAGAAGCTATTTCGCACCAGCCCTGACCTGAAAGTCATTTACATCCTTGTGAGGCCCAAGGCTGGCCAGACACTGCAGCAGAGAGTTTTCCAAATCCTAAATAGTAAGGTATGACTTCTGGGAGGAGCCTTAGGGCAAGGTGACTAACTGTGGTGTTCCCTTATAGCCTCAACTATCCTGCCCAGCGGGATATCTGGGCAGATGGAGCAGAGGAGACAAAACAAGACAGCAAACAACTGTTTGTGGAAATAAAGAGAGAAAAGAGTGCTTAGGCTCTGTCCAGGGCAGGTGAACAGATCATCTATGTTCTGGAAATTACTGAGTAAGAATCAAAATGCTAAAACCCCTGAGTGGACTCTTCAGGTTTGAAACCTATCACAAGTTCATCTGAACTCTTCCCTAAGTTTCTTCTAAATTTAAAATAGTCTTCCCCCCAATTTTTGGATGCTCTATATTACATTATATCACATCACATCATATTATGTTTTGTTATATATAGAACGGATATGATTACTAAGTAGCCATGCAGTAATACTTTCAATTGTTTAAACTCCACAAGGTTTAACTGTTAAATACTTTTTCTGTAAATCTACATTTCTATTACCCTCATTACATTTCTATTATACCATAAGTTCTTCTGAGGGAAAAACATTGAAATGAAATGTTCTATGTGTGAATGAGCATTTGTGTGTTAAACCCTCTCATTCCTCCAAATGAATATTATGTATGTTCTCTCATGTTTTACTTTATAAATTTGAAAGCAGTATAGGCTTTGGTCTCAAACAAATGTTGGTTCAAATTCTGACTTATCAATTTGTTATCACTTCACTGCTTCAGCTCCAGTTTGCGGCATTTAAAATAGAAACAATGATGATGACTTTCCAAGATTGCTTTAGGAATTAAATGAAAAGAAAAGAAAGAAAAGCACATATCTTGTTCATAGTCCCCTTTGGAATATAAAGAGTCATTTAAGGTTGGTTAAAGGATGATTTAATTAAGGTATTTTTATTTAGAGTCTCTTTTCCAGTGTGTAGGAATACTAACGTCTAATGTGAATCTTATAGCACAGCACATTACAGATGCCCAGTAACCCTCATGACCACATTCATCTGCTGGCATCAGGATGAGATTTGGGTACAAACCATCATCAAGAGCATCTGAAAAATCTCTCTCTCACGGCCTCACTCAGCAATGGACAGAAAATCATAGCTGACAGTTACTGGGTACTTACGACATGGCACACAGTATTCAAAAGGTTTTTTATGCCTTACCTCATTGACTTTTGTAACAACACTGGGAAATAAGAGCTATTAATATCCTCATTTTATAGATGGCAAAACTGAGATCTAAAGTGTTAACTTACCAAAGGTCACCCAGCTAGGAAACGGGAGAGTCAAGCTTCAGATGCCCAAGTCTGGCTCCAGGGCCAACATGCTTATTCCTACTCTTATACTGCCTACATCATAACTAGTGGTTCTTAAGAATAAGATCCAAAGGATGATGTGGCATAAAATCAAAATCTAGAAGCAACTCTCAGGCCCCTCTTCAGACAGCTTTGCTCAGTTATGTATTCCTCGTGGACTTTATTTTCATCACCTAGTAGACGTGACTCTTTAGCTTTGTAGCCAGTTTATAGATTTCTAACCCACCTTAAGTAATATAGTGTTCTTAAAGGTAGATTAATAATATCAGGTATGTGAGGCTTGGATATTTTTCTTTAAAACATAAGTAAAAATGTTACCACTTTGCCTTTGATTCTCACTATGTCTTCAGGAAATGTGGTCAAGGAAACATCTGTTCTATCAAAATTCATGGAGCTGCCTCATTCCTTTCTTTTCATGATGGATAGCCACCACCTTTCACTTCCTGCTCCCGTGCTTTTGGAGGGAGACAATTAAGTCGGAGATGCTTTGAAAAGAAGGATATTTTCAATCCATTGGCCACATAAAACTGGGACTCAAGAATCAGAAGGGAGGATTCATTTCATCACATATGACTAAGTTTCTTAAGTATTTTCAGAGCACTTAAAGGAACAAATCAATGAAGAGAAAGATATATGAATTGGTTACAGATTCTTGAGGACTTTCTCTCAAAGATAATTAAGGTGGCACTCTAAGAAAACAACCAGGGACGCATGCAAATACTGCACAAATAGGGCCGGCCGAGTGGCGCGATGGTTAAGAACTCGCTTGAGATGCCAGAGGGCCCCGGTTCGGATCCCACATATGAGGGCCAGTGACACTGCCCTCTACAGCTAAGATGCTGAACAACAGCTCAACCTGGAGCTGGGCTGCCGTGAGTCGCCGGCGACAGCGTAGGCTGCAGTCCCTGTGGCAGTGGGTTGCCATGGGCTACCGTGTGTAGCCAGCAGCCAGCGTGAGCGGCCAGCAGCCGCAGTGAGCGGCCGTCCAGAAGCCGGTGACTGATCTGCCTCGCCAGAGAAGAGCGCAATGATGGTGCCAACTTGGGCCAGTGAAGCAACATCCTCCACAACTAGATTGAAGAACAAAACGACAGCAACTTGTCTGTTCCCCTTCCCCCAACTCCCCAGCACTGTTCCCATCCCCCCAATTCCCCAATAAAAAATCTTTAAAAAAAAATACTGCACAAATACATTTATTGTAGTATTGTCTATAGTAGCAAAAACTGGAACGAATCTAAATGTTCTACAAGGCCTATCTCAAGAAACCAGAAAACTCCCAAACAACAACCTAACATTACATCTTAAAGAACTAGAAAAAGAAGAACAAATGAAGCCCAAAGTCAGCAAAAGGAAGGACATAATAAAAAATAAAGCAGAATTAAATGAAATAGAAAACAAAAAGACAGTAGAAAAAAATAATGCAGAAAAGCTGGTTCTTTGAAAAGGCTAATGAAATTGGCAAACCCCTGGCTAAAATCACTAAGGAAAAAAGAGAAAAGATGGAAATAAGCAAATTAGAAATGAAAAAGGAGAAGTTAACAATGAATACCACAGAAACACAGAGGATCATACAAGAATACTATGAAAGACTATATGCCACCAAATTCAATAACCTAGAAGAAATGGACAAGTTCTTAGAAATATATAACCTTCCTAGACAAAATCATGAACTGGAAAATCTAAATGGACCAATTAACAGTAATGAAATTGAAACAATCATCCAAAACCTTCCCAAAAGCAAAAGTCCGGTACCAAATTGCATCACTAGTGAATTCTACCAAACATTCAAAGATTATTTAATACCCATCCTTCTCAAACTCTCTCAGAATACTGAAGAAGAAGCAATACATCCTAACTTATTTTATGAGGGCAACATTACCCTGATACCAAAACCTGGTAAGAACAACATAAGAAAAAACAAACAAAAAACACAGACCAATATTTCTGATGAATATAGATGCAAAAATCTTTTAAAAAAATTCTAGCAAAATGCAACAACACATTAACATTATATGTTAATATAATGTTACATAAACAATGATTATACATTATAATAAAGTGGGGTTCATACCAGGGACTCAAGGATGTTCAACATATGCAAATCAATTAGTGTGATACACCACATAAACAAAATAAAGGATAAAAATCTTATGAGCATATCAATAGATGCAGCAAAAGCATTTGACAAAATACAACATGCATTTATGATTAAAACACTTAATAAAATGGGTATAGAAGGAAAGCGCCTCAACATAATAAAGGCCATATATGACAACCCTCAGCTAATATCATACTCAGTGGTGAAAACTAAAAGCTTTTCCTCTAAGATCAGTAATAAGACAGGGATACCCCCTTTCACCACTGTTATTTAGCATAGTACTGGAAGTCCTAGCCAGAGCAATCATGCAAGAGAAAGAAATAAAAAACCACCCAAATTGGGAATGAAGAAGTTGAATTGTCACTTCTTGCAGATGACATGATTCTTTATATAGAAAACCCTAAAGACTCCACAAAAAAATGATTAGAAATAATAAATAAATACAGTAAAGTTGCAGGATACAAAATGAATGTACAAATATCCATGCATTCCTATATACTAACAATGAAATTTCAGAAAAAGAAATGAAAAAATAATTATTTTTGCAATTGCAACTAAAAGAATAAAATACCTAGGAATAAACTTAACAAAAGATGTGAAGGACCTATACACTGAAAACTACAAGATATTATTTAAAAAAATTGAAGAATACACAAAGAAATGGAAAGATATTCTATGTCCATGGATTGAAAGAATCAACATAGTTAAAATGGCCATTTAACCCAAAGCAATATATAGATTTCATGCAATCCCCGTCAAAATTCCAATGGCATTTTTTAAAGAAATAGAACAAAAAATCATCAGATTTGTATGGAATCACAAAAGACCCCTAATAGCCAAAGTAATCATGAGAAAAAAAGAACAAGGCCAAAGGTATCACACTCCCAGGCTTCAAATTATACTGCAAAGCAACAATAATCAAAACAGCATGGTATTGGCAAAAAAGCACACACAGACCAATGGAACAGAAATGAGAACACAGAAATAAACCCACACATATTTGGGCAAATAATTTTCAACAAAGGAGACAAAAACATACAATGGAGAAAAGAAGGCCTCCTCAATAAGTGGTGCTGGGAAAATTGGAGAGCCACATGCAAAATAATGAAACTAGACTGCTAGCTGTCTCCATATACCAAAATTAACTCAAAATGGATCAAAGACCTAAATATAAGACCTGAAACAATAAATTACATAGAAGAGAGCATAAGTACTAACCTAATGGGCCTTTTAGAGAGGATTTTATGAACTTGACCTAAAAGGCAAGGGAAGTAAAAGCAAAAATAAATGAATGGGACTATAGCAAACTGAAAAACTTCTGCACAACTAAAGAAACCATCAACAAAACAAAGAGGCAACCAGCCGAATGGGAGAAGGTATTTGCAAACAACACCTCTGATAAGGGGCTAATATCCAAAACATATAAAGAATTTATACACCTCAACAACAAAAAAACAAAGAATCCAGTTAAAAAGTGGGCAGAGGACCTAAACAGACACTTCCCCCAAGAAAACAAATAAACGGCCAACAGGTATGTGAAAATATGCTCAACTTTACTAGCTATTAGGGAAATGCAAATCAAAACCA